AGCACCTACCAGCTGAAGCCCAACTGGACTTCAAACCGACTGGCTTTATCTTTATAAAATGCAGCAAGTGGAGCATATTAGTTACAGGGTATGTCAGTGGAAGTGGACACTCTCGCCAGGATGACTGAGCTTGGGGAATACCACTTGAGTGAAGGCTATTGCATAGGCTCACTCAGGACATAGCCTGAACAGAGGGACTCTAGGTCAGCCCACAGCAAAACCCCAAAACAAATCCAAGCCTTGGCCAGCAGTTAGAATTTTCTTGAGGATCTGGGCCAGCAGGCCATTGTAGTTGCTGGTGGTGTGCGGACTCGAGACAGCAAGAGAGTCCCACTAGACCTGAATTGAGTAAGAGAACTCATAGGCTGGTATCCAGGAGAGGGCACACCCTGGAAAGCCCACCTATATCTGGCTTGGAACAGGTAAATTGCTGAGCAACATCCAGATCAGAACCAATCAAAGCAAACATCTGGTTAAATGGTCACCCAGTTCTAATGGAGGTCACTACCAGAGCAGCTGTACCAGTGATTGCAAAACCAGTCTTTACCAAAATTCACCCTGGACTCCAACCCTTAAGTTTGCATATGACCTCAGCTGGGCTGAGATGCTACCCCAGGGAACCTTTACAGATGAAGGGTACAATTTCGGCTCCGGTCTCTTATGAGAAGCAGCTGGTTCACAAGGACAAGGGCAGCAGATACATGGGAACACCACCACCTCCAAGTTCCCCTCCAAGTCATTCACCGTCTTGACTTGGAAATATATTGCCATTCCTTCACTATCGCTAGGTCAAAATCCTGGAATTCCCTCCCTCATAGCATTGTGGGTCAACCCACAGCAGGAGGACTGCAGCAGTTCAAGAAGACAGCTCACCACCACCTTCTCAAGGGCAACTAGGGACAGGGCAATAAATGCTGGCCAGCCAGCGATGCCCACATCCCACAAATGAATAGAAACAAAAACTTACCGTCGATTGTAGTAAAAGGCTTGGACCAAAGCTTGATCGGGCAAAATTGTTTGAGAAAGATTCACCCAGATTGGCTCAAAGATTTTTGATTCGGAAATGGCTGACTGTGTGAAGTCCTGATTAGATACCCAGAAGTTTTTCAGGAAGGTGTAGGAACTATCAAAGGGGTCAAGGCTCACGTTGCATGTTGACCAGGAAGCAATTCTGTGATTCTGCAAGGCTCTCCCAGTGCCATTTGCCTTCGGGGCAAAAGTAGAGGCGGAAATCAGGAGGCTGGGAAGGGAAGTTTACGGAAATGGCAGGACCCGCTGTACCGATTGTAAATCTTGACGGGTCGGTTCGCTTTTGCGGGGATTTGAAACAAACAGTTAACCACTTCTCGCAGCCGGATAAATACCCAAACCCTCAGGCAGAGGATTTATATGCAAAGCTCGTGTGGGGTGTGTGGGGACGTGCTTTCTTCACGAAACTGGGCATGAGCCATGCTTAACTGTAATTGCGGTTAGATGAGAATTCCCAGAAGTATGCTACAATTAATACCCATAAAGGGTTTGTGCCAATATAGGAGACTGCCATTCGGGGTATCGTCAGCCTCTGCAACTTTCCAGCTGATGGTGGAGAATATTTTACAAGGTCTAGCCCAGGTCGCCATGACGTGCTGATCATGGGAAGACCAACAAAGAGCACTGAGAAAACTTGGACATGGTGCTTAATCATTTCTCCAAGGTGGGTGTATGCATTGGAAGGGGAATAAAGGGGTGAACCAGGCACCCCGCGTGACCTACTTGGGTACAAAGTTGACAAGACCGGGTTAGACCCGGTGGCAGATAGATCAAAGATGCCCCAGCTCCCACATCTGTACCACAGCTTAGGTCTTTCCTTGGGTTAGTGAATGATTATGGAAGGGTCACACATAACCCGGCCTCTGTCCTGATACCCTTACACCTGCTGTTGAGAAAGGGTCAGCCTTAGAAATGGTCTCGTAGCCAAGGCATAGCCTTTAGGGAAGTGAAGAAACAGCTACCATCATCCAAGGTGTTGGCGCTCTGTGATCCCAAGCGAGATTTGGTGCTGACATGCAATGCCTCCCCGTGCGGTATCGGGGCAGTGTTGGTGCATAGATGGACCAATGGAGAGGAATGTCCAATAGCGTAAGCTTCCTGGACTTTGGCTGATGCAGAGCGCAGATATGCCCAGATACAGAAGGAATGGTTTGGCGGTCATCTTTGGTGTGAGAAGGTTTCAGTAATGCCTTTACAAATTGTATTAGTAAGAGACCACAAACCCCTGCTGGGCTACTCAAAGAGGACAGGGCCATTCCATCCATAGCTTCAGATCGAATTCAGCGGTGGGCTCTTATTCTAAGTGTGCACTATGACGAGTTGGAATATGATCCGGGAGCTCTAGTCGCAAATGCAGAAGCCTTGAGCTGCCTCCTGCTGGCAGATACACCACCGGTGATGCCGCCTCTGGTTCTGGTTTTAATATTTTCTGCACGTCCTTCCAGTCACCGCTGACAATATCAGGCTGTGGACACAAAAAAGGTCCTGTCCTGGCAAAACTAAAACAGCTGGTGGTGATGGGGGAGACGAAAGGGCCGTCACAACCAGAACTGAAACCTTTTTGGACCTGGTGAGACCGGATCACCATAGGAGACGGCGTTTTATTTACGGGGAAGTAAGAGTGATTGTCCCCCAGCAAGGTTCATCTCCAGATAGTGGCTGAACTCCAGGGTCATCACAGTGTCTCCAAAATGAAGATGTTGGTGAGAAGTCATGCCTGGTGGCCAGACTTAGATGCAGACAAAGCTTCATCGGTGGGGCAGTGCCCAGAGTGCCAACAAGGACGGAAAGTTACCACTGCCGGCTCCCCCACATTCGTGGGAATGGCTGGGTAAACCCTGGACTCATTTACACATCGACTATGCGGTCCTTTCATGAGCTCAGCGTTCTTAGATCTTGTGGACGCCTGCTAAGAGTAGTTGAACGTGGGTATAAAGTTCATTCGTCAAACGATAGAAAAGCTGCGAGCATCTTTGGCAACACACGGGCTCCCAGAACTGTTGGTCCCAGATAATAGGCTGTCGTTTACCTGCAGGGCATTTGAGTATTTCCTGAAGTCGGACATGCAAGGGCAGCTCTGTATCATCCATCGACCTGTGGGCTAGTGGAAAGAGCAGTCCAAACTTTGAAGGCAGGCTTAAAGAACCAGCCTTCAGCTTCACCCAGTACCATACTGTCCCGGTTCCTATGGGACCACCCCTCATGCAACTCCAGGAATAGCTCCAGTAAGGTTGCTGATTAGGAGAAGACTCCGCACCAGGTTAAATCTGATCTTCCTGGTGGGGGAGAGTGAGACAGCGTCAGAAGCGCCAGTGCCGGGCACAAGACTCCTCGAAGCAAGAGAGAGAGAGAGAGAGACCGTTTGCTTCAGGGGGTGAAGTCTGGTTCTGAAACTGTGCGAATGGGCCTGCATGCTAAAAAAAAAATGGCGCGATTGATGTGAGGTCAGGCCTGGTGATGTACCAAGTTCGGGTAAAGGGAAGGAGGCCCTGAACGAGCACGGGGACCACGCGAAACCTCGCAAACGGGCAGGAGCAAAACACACCCGGCCCCTCAGAACGTCCGATAAGGCTTTCCGAACCCATGGGCTCTCCTCTCCCCGTAGCCCTGAAGGAACCTCAGAGTCTGAGAGGGAGGGGACAGCGGATGTCAGAGCCTCGATGCCTTTACCGCAGGAAGAAAGAGGGTGAATTTCTTCTGAGACACTCCATGCGTTCGTATCCAAGGCTGAGTCCGAGGAGCCAGGCCTGGTGTGAAAACGGCCCAGGAAAGGCTACAAGGAAAAGAACAGACATTCATTCCCAGACTCAGAGGGGGGACGGATGTAGTGATTATAATGAGGCCAGCCAGGTGGACCTTATAGAATATGACTCACTCAGAGATAGTAGGAACTGCCGATGCTGGAGTCTGAGATAACAAGGTCCAGCTCCACACCTTGTTATCTTATAGAATCTCTGAGTTCCCTGATTGGGGCTGCTAACCTGATCCAATCAGGGAGCCCTGGCTGAGAGATATAAACAGGCGTCTCAGAGCTTCTGTTCACTGAGGAAGCCAGACCAGTGCTCTGCACGTGTAAATAGTGGGTGACTTTGTGATGGGATGCCGGCCTCTATGGAGTTAGTTTAAGAACCATTTCCATTTGTTTATGAATAGTAGCAAAAGCCTTAACCATTTACCAGCGTCATTGAACTCATTTGTCTGCAGTGGAGCAAGAAACAATTCCAATGCGATCCAACAAATGTAGCTCTGCCTCTGAATGCCAGCTACTCACCTGCTCCTCTGGGGGCTGTTCACTGCCTGTCTCAGGGTCTGCACCTCGTCCGCTCCTCACAGTGACGCTGCCTGTCACCAGGATCTTCACTCGACTGCTCCTCTCAGATGGTCAGTACTGAGGGAGTGCCTCAATGCCAGAGGGTCAGTACTGAGGGAGTGCCGCACTGTCGGAGGGTCAGTACT